CTTAGCCATAACCAGCTATCAGGTAAGCACATGTCAACAAACTTTTGGTGATTGAATACCATGTTTAACAATTGAATATCCAGTTAAGTGAAAAGACCAAACATAAGTATTTATTTGTATCTTTCTCCGTAGCACATATATATATATATATATATATATATATATTTAACAGGTTTTGTACCTAGAAAAATCAAGAAGTTAACCATGATGGAGGAGATGGGTAGCAAAACAAGAGAGATGGGGAACTTAGAGCTAATTTGGAGTTGCTATGCTGTGAAAAAAAAAAACCGATGTTTTCAGAAGCAGAAGTAGAGCTGTTTCTGTTTTCTGCTGTTTTGGACCCATGATTTTGATAAAAAAAACACTTTTTTTTTTCATTTACCAAACACAATTTTAACCCCAGCTTTATTAAAAGCTGTTCTTCAAATAATTTCCACAATGCCAAACCAGCCCTTAACCCTGTAGATGATATCCCTTGACTATAATCATTTCGAAGGTATGACTCGTTCATATGCATATGATAGGATTGTAATAAGTGATTAGCTTAATCACTTAATTGGGGATTAAATTAGGTTTTAATAGTTGGTTAGTTAAGGTTCTTAAGAATTGTCAGCTAGCAAGAAATGTATGCTCGAGTTGTATAAGTGCTTTTTTTGTTAGTGGGAAGGCAACGGTCATTTCAATAAAAAAATTATATTACAAAATTGGGAGCTCAGCTCTATCTTCTTCTTCCTTCCTTTCACCCTTCACCTCTGATCTTACTGCTAGTCAAGGTTGAATTAGGAATTGGAACTTAGGTCATATCATTGATATCATCCTTTGATTCCTAGTTTCCCTTCTTGTATGCCCCGCCACACCACCACGACTGGCACAGTCATGGGCGATCGTCTTACTGCACTGGAATCTTCCATAGAACATGTCAATTTTAATAGGGAAGAAGCTCCTCACTGGAGTTGGTTCTGTTTGGGTTAATATTTGAACATCGGACTTAGATGAAGAAAAGCCCAAGATTATTTAATTAAAGGAGACTTGCTCGAAGCCCAACACCGAGCCCAAAGGCAAATTGAAGCCTTTTCAGCCAAATGCAAGCCACGGGCTTACTATTGAAGTGACAAGTGATGGAGACTAACCTACTACCAGCCAAAGAACACTTTCTAGTGGCATTCCAAGTAAAAAGCTAATGACTCACTACCCTCCAAGTGCTTTCGGGCAAGAACAAAGTTACAACAGTCGGGCTAAATCGCCTATAAAAGGAGGAAGAGGCCCCAGAGACAAGGACACTCAACCAATCAAACAAACAAACATACAAACTCTACTCTCAAGCCAGATTTGCATTCAAAAGCTAAAATCAACCCATATTCAATCCTTTTTAGTGACAAGCTAAGTATTGTTCAATTTAAAGCTCTGTTATATCCTTTAGTGGCGTAGTATCGATTCCCTTGTGTAAACTTGTTTACCATCCATCCTTTTTTAGCATATAAACCTTGTAATTTCAAAGAGAAGTAATTGCAAGAAGTTCAACCTTGCCATACAAGGTGAAATCTTGCCCAAAACTCTTTGTTTGTTTTCTAAGTTAATAGATCTATTACTTAATGCATTCTCCAGTATGTATTCAAGTCATATCCATCTGCTTTCCCACTTTAAGAGTCTTATTTGTATCTGGATCTGGTTAGTTTAAATGAATATGTCTTCATTGAAAGCAATCTAGGATCAAACAAATGACTTAAGGGGATTTGGTCTCCCTTCATTTGAACATACAAGACTATGAATTAAAAGTTCCTCCACCAGATGATCCAGATCCACATGGTACTGGTCATTAGTCTCTTGATACTCGTGACATGGCCTAGCAAGCATCTAGTTCGTGATATCGGTGACCTTGGAGTTCAACCAAACCGTCCTCAATGGCAGCACAAAGTGGATTTCTCTCGTTTCGTGGATGGTGATGATCATGTGGCATGGATATATAAAGTGGAGCAGTACTTCTTATATTATGGCACACCTGATCACCAAAAAGTGCTCATGGTTTATTTTCATTTGGAGCATGAAGCCTTGTAGTGGTTTTCGATGGCATGATTCTTTGTATAGCACACCTCGTTGGGAAGATTTTACCAAAGCCTTCTGCCAGTAATTTGGGCCTTTTATGTTTAAAGATAGCATTGAGACTTTGTTTAAGCTACGTCAAACAAGTATATTAAAAGATTATATTATGGAGTTTTAGGCCAATAGATCCTTTGGTGTTGGACCAATTTTACTTAAGAGTTGTTTTTGGATGGTTATAGAGCATAAGTTGAAGTACGATGTCAAATTATTGCAACCCTCTACTATACTTGATGTTATAGTTATGATATGCAAGTAGACATTAAGCTCAGAGAGCTCAAATTTGGTTCCTTTCGATTATGCCAGAATGTTAAATTTACCCTTACTTTTTAGTCCAATTTCCAAAACACCAAAGTTAAAACTAATACTCTATCTGTGAAAAAGTTGTCTCCTGATGAAGTACAAAGAAAAAAAGAGAAATGTGAGTGTTGGTTCTGTGATGAAAAATGGGTGAAAGGACATAAAGGCCACCATAAGCAGTTATTAATGATGGATCCAGTAGAGGAAGAAGAGGAGATTGTTGTGGATGAAGATGAAATGCTCCCTGAATTGCACAACATGGAGTTAAGTGAATGTGTTTTTTATGGAACTACAGTTAATCAAGATGAAGATGAATTGCATAACATGAAGATGAAATAATTATTCTCCTAACTTATCGAGGTTGACTTACGCCCACACTCCCCCTCAAGTTGGTGAATAGATATCCCCTAAGCCCAACTTATCGAGTGAGTCATGAAACCTACTAGCAGAAACTACATATGTTAGAACATCACCGTTCTTCTATCTTTACAAACGGAATGTCACCAGCTTAACGTCAAGCTTCTCCTCTATGAAGTGTCTATCCACCTCCACAAGTTTAGTTTTATCACGCTGCACCGGATTATTAGATATCTTCCAAGCTACTTGATTATCATAGTACAACGTCATAGACCCTTTAGGTTTAAAGCCTATCTCATTAAAAAGAATATGAATCCACAAAAGTCCACAAATATCATGTGTCATCCCCTGTATTACGCTTTTACTGATGACCTTGCCACCACACTTTGTTTCTTACTTCTCCAAGTCACCAGATTACCAGCTACGAATGTAAAATATGTTGATGTAGACCGCATATCAATAATATTCCCAGCCCAATTTGCATCATCATATCTTTTCACCTCCATGTGTCCATGCTTTCTGTACATTAAACCTTGTCCTGGAGCTCCCTTTAAATAGCTTAAGATCTGCATTACTGCTGCCATGTGATCCTCACTCAGTGCATGAATAAACTGACTCACTACACTTACAGTATAAGCAATGTCTAGTCTAGTAAGTGACAAGTAAAGCAATATTTCCACTAACCCTTGATACCTCTCCTTATTTGTTGGAACTTGATCTTGATAGACTGCAAGGTGATGATTCTGCACAAGTCCAAGACATACTTACGTTATGACAAGTATGTCCCTTCTCAAGATGTAGCAACCTCAATGCCTTAAGTCCCCCTAGGTCTTTCATCTCAAACTCGGAAACCAAGTACCCCTGTAACTATTCAATTTCATTCATATCATCACTTGTAACAATCATATTATCCACATATATAATGAGTAAAGTAACTTTACCATCCTTGCTGAATAAAGTATGATATGAGTTCCTCTGTTAGTACCTGCATCGCTTGAGTCAATCTTCCGAATCATGCTTTGGGCGATTGCTTAAGATCATACAACACCTTCTGAAGTCTACACACTTTCCCATTGGAGTTTGGAGTGTCATATCCTGGTGGAAAGTCCATGTAGACCTCTTCCTCTAAATCCCCATGCAGAAATGCATTTTTTACATCAAACTGTCTTTAAAGGCCAATCAAAATTAGCAGCAAGAGATAAAAAAATTAAATGGTATTCATTTTTGTGACAGGAGCAAAAGTTTCTTGATAGTCAACACCAAAGGTCTGTGTGTAGCCTTTGACCATTAGTCTCGCCTTGTACCTATCAATTGTTCTGTCAACCCTATGTTTGATAGTAAACACCCAATTGCATGCCACTGATTTTTTTTTTCCTTTAGGAAGTGTAACCACACTCAATGTATTATTCTTTTGTAATGACTCCATCATAATTTGCATTGCCTCTGTCCATTTCAAATCTTTCAAGGCTTCTTCCACTCTGGTAGGTATTTTGATAGTGTCCATCTGTAGAACGAGTGCACAATATTTTGGGCGAGAGTCAACGAGTGGAGACATAATTTGCAATAAAGTACCATACTTTCCCTTCTGGAGAGTATCTGTCTAGCAGTTTTCCTCGATTCTATCTTGGAGGTAAGTAGTTTAATAATATTTGAGTGAGTACGTACTTGTGGATATCCGGTAGATCATGGACCAGTATTGAAGGCGTGTGAAGGGGGTTGTCTCTTGGGATGATACTTGGGGAAGTGGCAGGATGCCCATTTGGGCAGGAGGCAGCATGAGAATTACCCATTTGGGGCAAGTGACAACGCCAATTGGGCATGTGGCGACGGCAGGAGGCCCATTTGGGCAGGTGTCACCAACAGGATAGAGCCCAACATCAGCAAGAAGCTCCTTGACCTTCTTCTCGATGTTGTGGCTGGAGTTGTAGGGTGGAGTTTGTGGCTATACATTGGGTTTGGATGTGATGGGTGAAAGGGGCGATGATGACCATTACTTGGTGGAAGCCATGCTTCTATAACTTTCTATTGATGTTGGAGACAAAATTAGTTTATTTAATTTAACAGAAAATTAACTGCGACTTAACGGATGCGACATTTCCAATAGGTTGAGTATTTGTTTGAAATGTTAAAGAACGTTAAAACCAACTTTGAATGATACTTAAAAGATTTGGAGATTACTTAATCCTTAATAATATCGCTTGTAATAACAAAAAAAAAATTAAATAAAATGGCTTTCATGTGGAAAAATTGTGAGCTTGTTTGGTCGACATATAGACGGGCTCTCATTTCTCGTACTATGTAGACGAAGCTAAGAGACAGAGACGGAGACAGAAAACATCAAGTGTGGTGTAACCAGACGACGGCGAATACAATCTTACGAACGAGGAACATGTTCTACAGAGGGTAACTCCACTTTCCCTTCCCTTCCTTGTAATCCTTTATTCCAATTTCTTCCCTTTCTTCTTCTTCTATTACTATTACAATGATTCCTCATCTTTTCATTTTTTAGGTTATTTAAATTCATATTAGTGTTCTTTTCTCTAATAATTTCTACCGATGGCCTTTATTAGTCGATTTCTTTCTGTTGTTCTTGTTAATTGTGGGTTAGTATAAACTAGATGACGCCCAGAATAATAAGTTCATTTTTTCCCGAAATTTTATGGATTATTTGGGGTTGAACAACATAAATGATAGGATTAGAACTAAATTAGTTTTTCAATTTAATGTTCTGGGATTGTTTTTTTTTTGCCCCCGTATGCTCGATTTCGAAGAAAATTCAACAAATTTATGGTCTAGCTAGTTATGGATGATATCGAAAACCCTTACGTCAATAAAATGCTTGCTGGTAATTTGTAATTAGCAAACGTTGTTTTTATTACAGGACTGACAATATTTTTCTGGTTTCTATTTGGGCCTGCGGGGAACCTTTTCTATTTGAGCAAGTACTGATTATTTCCCTTGTTTTGAAATTGATAAGCGCTTTAAGGCGGAACGTAGGATGTGGAAGTATGTCATCAAAACCCTTAAGTTAGTCGCAACTGAAATAATTTCGAGGGTTTGTTTAAGACCTGAATAAAATGTTTGACCTAATTAATACAGTAAGAGAGTACCTGTTGCCGAAACCAGTTAGAGAGTACCTGTTATGATTTAAATCTTAAGGTAGTTGTCCAGGGTGATGGAAGAAAACAATATAAAATTCTGAGATTCAATATGGAATACAAAAATGTATTTGCAAGTTTCCGGTTGTTATGTTAGGAAATATCCTATTTTTTCTATTTTCCAACAACCAGATATGGTTTTTCCATGGAAAATTTATCTTTAGTTTATAATTTTACACTTACGTTGTTTCCCCACTCCTAAAATTTATAAGTTAGTAGCACAAGGTCCTCAGACCCAAAGGGTGTGTTTTAAACTCCGGACCTATCGCACCTAAGGGAAGCTCCAAGTTGCATTTGTATCTTGTTATACCCGTACCATTTTAGGTTCATGTTGAATATCATACTAGTAAGAACTCTACCCAACTTGTCTTATCAACCATTTAAGATGACCCAACATTTGCTTAACCTCTTCATTGATCATGTCATGTTTGGGTCAGTTTACATACCTCATTTCCAAGTTATGTTAGACCGTGGTGATTTTTTCCTGTCATTTTATGTTGTCAAACATTTGTCAACCCTAATCCGGCTTCTCTTTTGTTAGTTGAGAGGAGTGACTTTACACTTACCTACCATGTATATTAGTGATGTCATGTTTGGGTTGGTCCACGACTCCACATATATTTTGAATTAAAAGTGGAAAACTAAGTGTCACATATATTTATCCAAACTTATTACTCATACATTCCTTATAAAATCAAAATCCACTTCATCCTGATACTAGAGAAAAGGTCGTACCCAGTGCACAAGGCTCCCGCTTTACGCAGGGTCTGGGAGAGGTGAATGTCGGCTAGTCTTACCCCCATTTATGGAGAGGCTGCTCCCAAGTCTCGAACCCGAGACCTATCGCTCATGGGCGAAGGCACTTGCCATCGCACCAAGTGCGACCTCTATCCTGATACTAGAGAAATCATACAAAATTAAAGGAATAGTACATTGTATATTAAGAAATGGAAGATACTTAGGCAGTTTTGTCGTGTCAAAATTGGGTTATTTGTGGATGACGTTAACCCAACCTATTTTTCTCTTATGTTTTTGGGCAGCATTATTACGAATCTGTGTCAAGTAGTGCTGAAGTGTAATTCTGTAGCTTCTTTTTGGCCCCGTCTTGTGTTATTGACTTTCAAACTACATGTATTTAAGATTAAGTGATTTATTTCTGATACAAAGGTCCTTTACTTGACGCATATGCTTAGAAAAAACTTGGAAGACTTGATCCTGTATCAATAAATGACGGGAAAAAATAATATATTCATAATACTAGTTAGCAAGTTATTTTCGTGTTTCCGACTAACTCAACCTGTTTATTATGCATGTTAGTAAATTGTAGCATTTATGGGTTTCTATTAAGTAATATGAACTTCAACTTCTTTTCAATAAAAAATGAAAATTGAATCAAGTAATACTAACTGTAACCCAATAATTTAGTCTTGAGTTCACGTTGTATTACTTTCCACCCCTTATCCCACCCTGTCTCTAACTCAGGAATGATTTACCACCGTAATAAAAAACTAAAAGGGGCATTTGTAGCTTTACATTTGTCCTGGTGCATTGTTTGTATACTGGCTTGTTTAGTGTGATTCATTGCAATTTGCAAGTGTTCCACGTTGGGAAAGGAATTAGGAATTAGTGCACAACCACTGCTTGTTAATCTACTTTGGTATATAGCTAGGTGAGGCTGTTTCGTGGGCTGAGGAATTTGTGAAGGCAGAGCATTATATTGTGGTTATCGTCCGACAACCTATAATACACATAGTATGGAAATTTGATATTCAGGAATGATGTCGATGTTTGCGTCTATATGTATTTATGGTATCACTATAGTAGCACATGTTTTCTTGTTTCTAAACAACTGATGTATAGGAAGAAACACAAGGAGAGATGCAATGTAGAGAATTGATTCTCCCACATCCACAGAAAGAACATGAAAGTGCTAAGAGAATATATTACTGAGTATTCTAAACAGTACGTAATGGATTCTAAATCTTGAAGTCTATATTAATGCAAATACTATTGTTTTAGGTTCTATTTTAAGTCTAACTTGTTTATTTTGTGATATAAAAGCTGTGGTTTAATGAAAGTGCATGAGAATGTTTTTCTAGAAAGAAGAAAAGCTACCCAACTACTAGGAGATATTGGTGCATGGCATAGGAAAATTGGAATGCTTATTAGTGTAGTTGAGTAATTAGTCATGATTCTTTATAATATGTGAGTATTGATGAGTGTGCTTCTCCTCTGTTGCTTTTGTTGCCACTGGGGACTAAAGTAAATTTTCTGATGGTGGTGATGGCCGTGAAATGGGCTCAAAGCGTCAGCGGCTAGGCGAGCCAGGATCTTCATTCTATGGAACCTCCCCAGGCTCAAGTTATATGTACAATCCTACTCCTTATGCATATGTTGGACAGCCTCCGCCTTTCCCTGTCGTTAAGCTTCGTGGTCTACCATTTGATTGCACGGAAGTTGATGTTGCTGAGTTCTTCCATGGTCTTGACATCATTGATGTTCTTTTTGTCCACAAGAATAGCAAGTTCACTGGGGAAGCATTTTGTGTTTTGGGGTATCCTCTCCAGGTTGATTTTGCCCTTCAAAAGAATAGGCACAACATGGGCAGGAGATATGTTGAAGTGTTCAGAAGTAAAAGGCAGGAATATACAAGGCAATAGCACAAGAAGTTTCTGATTCTCGTGGTGGTTCCCCTCGCAGAAATGCCCCAAGGGCCAAATCTTATGATGAAGGGAAGGACTCAGCGGAGCACACGGGGGTATTGCGGTTGAGGGGATTGCCATTTTCAGTTGGCAAGGATGATATAATGGATTTCTTTAAGGACTATGTGTTGTCTGAGAACTCAATTCATTTTACAATGAATTCGGAAGGGAGGCCCACTGGGGAAGGGTTTGTGGAGTTTGCAAGTGCGGAAGACTCCAAGGCAGCTATGGCCAAGGATAGGATGACGCTTGGAAGTCGATACATAGAGTTGTTCCCCTCCACGCATGATGAGTTGGATGAAGCAATATCAAGAGGACGGTGATTCCTTGTAGCTTGGCCATCAATTGCTATCGTGTACTAGCCATAATCTTTTACATTGTTGCTTCATATTTCGCTTGACGACTTTCAGTCAGATTTTCTAGTTGTTGTTTCAGGAGAAGTATGCTTTACGTATGAGTGAAGTTTTTCGTATTTAGCTAGTTTCCTCTGCTGATTTAGGTTCTGTTATCTTGCCTTGTGTATCTGCTACATGACATATGTTTCCCCTCTAATTTAGTCCTGTTCTACACTGATGCATGTTGGGTCGATATACGTTGTTCCCCGGGATTGATGATATCTAGGATCGAGTTCTGTTCTAGAATTTAAGTTGGATGGCTAAGAACTGTTTCTCATACGTTGCCTGTTATGTTCTGCTTGTTTATGTAGGCCAAAGGCAAAGGGTTTGTACTTCGTGTTAGTTCCCATCCCAGTTTTCGCAACGGAATCATGTTTCTTCTTGTACTGGGTTTGCTATATGTTGTCTTTCTCTGTTTACATTTGCATTTGGATTGTGGAGAATGGTAAGAGCAGTTTCATCGGTGTTGCTGAAATTGTTGTGATGGGTTATATCATCTTCTTGTGTTGGAAATCTCATGGTATTAAAAATGCTGAAGTTGAAATGCTGCTGTTGCTTTTGGTTCATATTATATGTCGTTTGTTATTGAGAACCTCAATATTATTAAGGTGACTTCCATCCCTTGTAATTACTATTTGTTGAAATATTTCACATCGGGCAGAGAGAGAAAACAAGAGTTTAATAACCTAACTCGATTCCAACTAATAGGAGGTCTTTTGTAATAAAATTCTATACATGTTGCACTATGCGGGTGGTAATTATAAGTTGGAGACAATATCGGTATTGTTAGAAGGGAGCATTTGGCCCATCTCCTTTATGATTTGACACTATTACCTCCTTAAAGTTTATGTACGGCATTTATATGCAACATTAATTGGTTGAACGATGCCACTAAAACTATGAAATTGTTACGAAAGAGAATATCTCGATCTCAGGGTGGCTGTCAGTGTGCTGAAATCCATTTCGTTTTAGGGAAGACAGTGAAATTAGTTGACATGAGATTCTATTTTGGAATCCTCATTTTGTGCAAAACTAGCTCGTTTAGCAGCTTTTCCAACCTTTGCGTAATTCTTTCCAAAGTCAACCTCTCTCTCTCTCCGTACACGGATTCACCCATGCAACTATTGGATCAAACTAACCAGGTATGTTATATTTTTTTTTTAACAAATAATATTATCTACATTAAGAGGGAGGATGTGCGTTTAACCTCATAATAGGCTAGTAATAATATGGTTCAAACTCATATTTGGCGAGAATCGAACCTAAGACTTCTCACTTACAAGTGAAGAGGAATACCACTAGACCGTAGTACTAAATAGCACCATGTATGTTATGTTAAACTGTCAATTTGAATCATACATTCAAACAAGCATTTGCCGAGATTCTGAATTTGACTATTTAATGTATTACTTAATTAATCTGAGTGATAGTTTTTTTATTACTACTTTAAGCTAGACTAAGGGAAGGGTTGGTGATTTGAGCACGAAATACAGTGATTTAAAGATGAAAACTTTAGCTACCAACGCATATCACCACTTATAATCTGAAAATTAGTTTTACAGCACAACATTTGGTCATTTTATCTTAGAGGGAACAAACTACTTTGAATCATAGATAATAAAATATACGATCAACCAACATTTATTAAATTTGAAAAAGAGTCGGAAGAAATCGTTCGATCCTTTTATTTTTATTTCTCGAACTAAGAGATCCATGAATTGGGATCCTAATGCATATAGATACAAATGGTCCAATGGGAACAAGAATTTACAAGGAACATTTGGAATATTTCATTTCTAAGCAGAAGAGCCGTTTTCATTTTATTGATCAGTCGTGTCATATAGGCCTGTGTTGAACATCCAATTGCTTCGATTTGAATTATTCGGAGGATGCCTTATATACATTATATTAAAAATATATATTATTATATAAAAAAGATAGACAATCAAATCGATTTCTCGATTCAATAGTAGCCCAAAGAGGTGAGGTGAAGAGGGTCTCATCGCAAATAAGGAGAGATATGTAAAAAGCAAGTCCGTTACGCCTATTCCTAATCCTAAATGGAATGTAACAATGTAGAGATTCATAGGTATTAGAACCTATTTAGATACGCTCCAAAAAAATCTCACTAGATTTACGGTGTAAAAAAATACAATACCATGGGAACCTCCAAAAACAAACTTCACATGTTTAAATAGTAACATGGAGCATGAAACTACATTGGACCATGTTCATACTTGCACACAACCAAATTAATCCCAAACATTTTTCTTGTACGCCATGACTTTGTCCAAGTATAATGGGACACGTGTACAAATATTGAATTACTGTATTTAGGATACCCTGAAAAATACAGACATTGTCTTAAAAAAAATCTCAAAAAATGGGAAAAAACAAGAAGGGCATCCACCATGCATGAATCAATCTCAGAAATCCTAATAAAAAAATCTTTGCTTGCAGACAAAACAGTGAGTGACTCATTTATCAACTTAGATAACTATGAAAATAAAATAATTATTAATTTTGTAATGTTATATATATAATTGAACAAAATCTAAACTATTAACTGCTCCTTGGGTAGCTGCCCTTCTTGCTCTTGCCCGATGCCCGATGCCCGATGCCCGATGCCCGATGCCCATATTATTCTTGATCTATTTGTATTGTAATTTGTAATCCCTAGGGTCACAGGGTGCAAAGGAAAGTCTAACATAAAATGTTACGCAATGATTTTATTTTTATTTTTATTTTTATTTTTTTACAAAAGTATTACTTTTATCATTTATTTGTACATCTTTCTAATGCAGATAGAATTCACATGCGTTGTTAGGCTTTATCTTTATTAAATAGATGATACAAATAATTATATAATTAGATGGTAAGTATAGTATTACTCTTCTTCTTTTTTTTTTTAAAAAAAAAAAGGGAGCAAATTTTTTTTTTTTTGAACAAAAGATAGTATTTACGCTAAAGGGGTTGGGGAGTAGGCTAAGTCTCATAATGAGTTAGCAATAATGTGGTTTAAATTTGCTTTTGTGTCACATTCCAATCTCGGCTCCGCCGTAGCACGATATTATCCGTTTTGGGCTTACCATTCCCTCACGGTTTTGTTTCTGGGAACTCACGAGCAACTTCCCAGTGACAGAGCCACTCTGCCGTTCGATGCGGATGTGCCAGTGAGGACGCTGTGTTCCCCTTAAGTGAGGTGGATTGTAAGATCCCACATCGATCAACGAAGAAGGGATGATGTGCCTTATATGTACATGCTCCCCTCCCTATAGCACGAGGCCTTTTGGGAATTCACTAGCTTCGGATTCCATCGGAATTTTGAAGTTAAGCGAGTTCGAGCAAGAGCAATCCTAGGATGGGTGACTCATTGGGGAGTTCTCGTCTGAGTTCCCAGAAACAAATCTGTGAGGGAATGATAAGCCCAAAGCGGACAATATCGTGTTACGGTGGAGTCGAGACTGGGATGTGACAGAATAGGATTGTAAGATCCTACATCGACCAACGGAGAGGGGGTGATGTGCCTTATATGTACATGCTCCCCTCCTTATGAGGCATTTTGGGAACTCACTGGCTACATATTTCATCGGAACTTCGAAATTAAGCGAGTTCGGATGAGAGCAATCCTAGGATGGATGACCCACTGGGAAGTTCTCGTCTGAGTTCCCAGAAACAAAACCGTGAGGAAATGGTAAGCCCAAAGCGGACAATATCGTGTTACGGCGGAGTCTAGACTGGGATGTGACACTTTGCGAAAATCGAACCTAAGACCTCTCACTTACAAGTGAAGAAGAATGTCACTAAATCATAATACTAAGTTGGCTTAAAAATATTAACATCAATTGCAATTTGTTGAACTCAAACAAAATATTAATCTTGTTCAAAAATGGAGCCGAACATGAGCTTTGACATATTTGGTATAAAGTCCGTGAGCAGCTTGTACATGTTTTTATGAGATAGCTCATGTTCGTCTCGTTCATTAAAACTTAAGTTCATAGAGGTTAGACATTTTGATCCTATAATTAACTTTCTTTGGATTGATAGAAAAAATCTCATAGGAATACATATCTCTGAAGACATGTCTTCCTATTATTTTATTTGTCCTTGCTTGATTAATTTTTCAACGTTCATTAAGTCGAGCCAAATTAGGTTCAATATTGGTTAAAATATGAGATGAGTTGAGCCGAGTTAACCACAAGATCGATCAATCCACAAACGAGCTGAACCAACCTTTTGTAATTAAATGATACGCAAAGAATTATGTAGCTTAGTTGGTTAAAAATATTTTTTTGGGTTCGACTCTCCCTGCTTTAGTATTGTTTATATAAAAATAAAAAATAAATCTACTTTTCCAACCTACCTTTTTTTCTAAATGGAATAGTGTTCACAGAATTAAAAGAAGAAGAAACTAAATAAATAAAATGAATAAAGAAGGCATAAGAAGTAAATATCATTTAGGGTAATTCTCATTTTATCTTGAAGTATCGTGGTTTTCAAACTTGTATACATCAAATTTCTTTCATCCCAATCTCATACCTAAAGTGAGGATTGTGCGACACTTTCATACTTCTGTAAGACTTTCCGTCAGAACTTCTGTTAACGTGTGACATGTGGCCCACATGGATAATAGCTGTCGCCATGTGTCAATTTTGCCCCACGTGAATATTTAAAAATAAAAAGTAAAAAAATAAAAAAAAAAGAAAAAGAAAAATAAAAACAAATTTAACAGCAGTCATTTTCATCTTTCTCTCATAGATAGACGATGACTCGCATTCTGCAACTACAACCCAACAGAATCCATGGAGCTGACTAAAAGAAAAAGTGTGTGTGGGACCATAATTTTTTAGGATTGGAGTAAGGCTGATCCTAATACAGTTACTTCAAAAGTCCAATCATGAACTCACTAGCTCAAAGCAGAGCTGGATCAGACGAGGCAATGTTGCCACCATCACCATGTTCCCAGCAATATGAGAGTCTTAGCAACTCTGCTCACTATGCTTGTTTCGCAAGACATGCGATCTGATTCGGATATAGGCTCATTAAGGTCCTTATAAGTCTTGGAGTTCCTACAATCTAGGAATTGGTGTGCGCACAAGTAATCACAACTCTTAAGATGGTGCAATATCTACTTCTAATATCCTTTAAGATTCTTCTGACCTAAAATGGTTATCTCTCAATGGTATAGATACACTCATCTAGGGTTCATCTATGGTAACACTATCTTAATACTTAAATTCTTTTACACTATGTTTGGATGAGGAAAATAAACTTGGAATTTGGTTAAAAGTCAGAATTTATAAATTTATAAGCACTAATTCTCTTGTTTGGATTCATAAACATAAGAATTTAGAATTTCCGTAACTTGAAATTTGGAACCTCCAAATCCCAAGTTAAAAATCCATGTAAATACACATAATTTCCCAATGATTGAGAGTTTAAAAGTAACAATTTCCGTATTCAATTCCATAGTTCTTTTAGGTTAACCAAACAAGAAAATTCACAAATTCTAGAAAATAAAATCCCGTCATTTCAATTTTTGTCATTTTAAAATTCTTTAGTAATCTTAAATTTCTTCATCCAAACATAGTGTTACCCACTGCTTGATTCTAAATGCAACTCACTAACTTGATAGTTAGAGAGCCATTGGTCAGCACACCACCTCCAGTCTTAGGCTTGCTCACAGTTATTCTTTGTTTTGCAGGTAGTTGTGCATAGGGATGGCAATGGATCAGTTTGGGGACGGAAATGCTATATCCATCTCCATAACCACAAAAATTAACCATATTCATAACCGCAAATTAACCATTGGGTATTATCCATAATCATACTCATCGGATAACGGATTCCCCATCGGTTAACGTTTATATTCATCTTTGTCAATAAAAAAATATATTCGCCCAATTGACGCATAATAATTTAGTAAATATTAATTTCGTCAATAAATATTTGATGTATAGAATGATTTAATTAATGGATCTTGTGGAGCATAAAAATTAAAGCTAAACATTGATAATGTTGGTTGATCTTTGATATCTCTCATAAGTACCATTGAATTCTCATAGATTTTGATTCATATCAAAACTTTTGAATTTTGCCACAAAATGCAACTCACATAATGCAATTTTTGTATTCTCAAAGTAAGATTCGGTGAATAATAAATATACATATATATATATATATATATTATATAATACTTTAATATTATATATAATTATATTAGATATTATTCAGTTCGGGTACGAATATGGATTGGGGACCCTATAATCATATCCAAAACTATAACCGAATAATATTTATGATTTTTCCCCATACCCAAAATATACACAATTTTCATACCCAAATTTAATTCATTCGGACGGTTATCTATGATTATCAAGTTTAACTGTTAAAATTATCATTCCTAATTGTGCATCACGACACTTAAGAGTAATAAAATGAGAATTACCCTGTTTCTTAAATCTCTCAGTTTTTCTCCCCTTTACCGCCTCTGTTTCTGGGCTTTGCTTCGGGCAGCGGGCAGCATTTGCCCCAATTATATCACAATTCCCCAATTATATCACAATTCTCAATCAATATAAAGCCCTACGAGCAACATGTTTATTCGTAAGTGTTAGATCCCGCCTCTTCTCTTCTCTTCACCCCCTCCATCATCTTTCTAGGGTTTTATTTAGGGCTTTTTCAACTCTTACGGAAGTGGGTTCCCCCCCTCCTACCTTATTCACTCCAATAATCCACTCATCTTCTGTGTTCCTTTCTTTGCATCTTGAAAATATTTCTGGGTTGATCTTGTTTTTGTGTCTTTTTTCTCTTTTGGGTCAGAAATTTTCTGAGTTGAAGACTCCATGTGTGGTGGAGTTTGTTCGAAGTGGTAGGTAGTTGTAAGGTTTGATTGAAAAGGCCTTGTTTCCAAACGCGTGTTTGATCATTTTAGCTTTTTGACACTTTTTCCAGTCAAATTTTATTTGCTTTATAAAGCATCCAATATTTAGGGTTTAGTTTTTCTCTCTACTAGTTAATTTTCCTTGTTTGGTAAAGTTTTTTTTTTCGGAAAACTTCTTCCTTGCTTCTTGGCCACCTTCAAATTCTTCACCAATTCTTGTTTGCTCTCTTCAACCAATGACTCCAGCTGCAAGAACAAGATCAAAGACAAAAACAACAAGAGAGGCAAAAACAAAAACAACCCATTTCAAGAAGAAGCTTGTCCGGCCAAAGACTACTACTCATCAAGAATTTGCATCTCCGAAGACTTCGCCTTCGAATTCATCCTCCGTGGTCTGCAACGATGCTCCGAAGATTGAAGGCGGCATAGATGAGTTCGAGGCTGTTGACGATGTGTCTACGGCAAGCGCCTGCTCCACTCCGAAAGCTCAGAGATTCCGGATACCGGAGATTGTAACCTGTCCACCGGCGCCTAAGAAGAAAAGAGCTATTTCATCAAATTGCTTGTTTCGGAGATCTCCAATCGCCTTCTTTGCTCCGCCGGACTTGGAGCTCTTCTTCTGCTTTGCAAATGGCGGTATTTCAGTTTAAATCAAACTTTGAGTGACATTTCATGGAATATATACATAAATAATTTCCGTAGTTAAGAGATGGTTGTCATCTTTACCATCAAATTAGTTTTAGTTTAGTCTCATGGGATGAGATTTTGAGTTGGGAGAAAGCAAATTATTGGCCTCTGCTTTTTCTTTGCCAACTATCTAAGTTGGGTTTTCAAATTCTAGGGTATACTAATCAGTAATTAAATTAGCTGGGACTGTCCAACTAATTGATTTTAGCCTTTTTTTGCTTATTTTTAAAGGTATTGCTGACCTTCTGAGTTTGGTGAGTGGAATGTAATGGGTGGGTTTGAAGTTTGAGTGTGGTTTGTTAAGTCAACTTAGTAAGAGAAGCATAGGCACTTCTTTTGTTGTGTGTAAACCCTTCTTAAGTTAATGAAGACAGAAAGTTTATATATGTAGCAAGTTTTTTTATACATCCGATATTTTATATTAAATTTATTTAAATTTTGAACAGCATATTCGGTTTAACAAACTAATATGTTTTAGCTAACTTAGTTAAATTGATGCCCGTATGATATATACAAATTATTAGGAATGTGAAAAGGTTGTTTGTGGACAAAAAATTGTATCAGCATATTGCATCATGACGTAACTCTTTGAACGTTGGATTCCTACGCAGAGAATATAATTTTGGAGTGATAATTTCTTCACATTCAATTTGTGGGTACCTCTTAACCCCACTAACTAATCATATGGCACCACTATTTGTTGTCTAACAAGATTATTTAGTCTATATTAACGGCCAAATTGTTAACTGATATGGTCCACCATTCTGATGAAAAACTAGTGATCGAGTATCTATCTTTTATTTAATTTGAAGATCCTTTGTATGAATAAATTAACTTTTACCATAACAATATTACTTGTTACTATATTCATTAATTTATTGGACACTTATGATGACTAAGCGGTTTTATATATCGGATTAAATTTTTAGAAATGATTTTTACCTTTAAAGCATGATAAAGAAGACAGTGATTCATATAATTTTTATTATACAGTGAAATAATGCTCGAAAATGAGAGAAGTGTTGTCGTAAATGGATTATGTGGTTGGAATTAGAAAACTTATAAACGTAATTTCTGTATAATATAAAATACTGTTTGCATAGTGGCCTTACAGGTTATAGAGATTCTCTTTGAATCCCTTCCATCAAATCTACTAAATTCACAAATTTAGACTTTTGAAATTTAATTAAATGGTTAAAGTTATTATAATTTTTATATGATATATTCAAGGTTGAGATCATATTGTCAGACACTTGGTGTCAGGGTGTCTCAGCAGAGTCCGGCATCAAACAGAGAATCCAATGAAAGGACTCGTGCGGGTTGTGATCATTTTCACATTACAGAATCTCAAGAAATTTCTCATCATGTTTTCCTATATGATTTGTTACTTAATTTGTCCTTCATAATAAGATTGGAAATCGATTGGAAATCGATTTGGACACTAATAAGTGAGGTGTTACTCTCCTCTTTTACTCTTTTACGTTATTTTGATTTTAATGATTAGCTAGTGTTATAATTTAATGATATTTTTTTTAACTTATAAATTAGATATCTCAAATTTGATTTACATAAATTATATTTGTTGTAAACTTGATATCTCGTTAATGACGGACCTACTATGCAACCTATTTCAGTCCCCTTCATCTTAAATGTAAAATATCGTTGTATAAAATGAGTAAAAAGTACAAACATATATAAATTTTTATGTAAGAAATTTCTTCACATCCTCCCACAAAAAGAAAATAAAGTGAAAGATAAAAAAACATTTACTTATTAAAGCTTTGCAATACAGGAGGTGTGAAGTTCATTAAGAGCATTGTCTTTACATTCAAGGTATGTGTTGGTTTATTCTTTCTAATATCTCATTGTGAGGTTAAGCCTACTTATTCTCTTTTAATATAGATAATATTGCTTGTTAAAAAAAAAATCATGTATAAACTACCTCATATTATTTCAGTAAAAAAAATAGATGAAACGATAGCAAGTTCATTCTACTATTTAAGAACTGATACATATATAAAAAGGACAAATTGGATAACAACCAATAGGTCCTCACTCCAAGAGACTTTAACAGAACATCAAAGGCAACTTCGCCAAACAAGTTGCCATCCTATTGGTGGATTTGAGAGCAAGACATGCCCGAGAATAAGCAATGAATGCATCCAAATTTTGAAATCATTGACACCCAAACTCAAAAGATTGTAAAAAAAAAATTAAAAAAATCCACTTGTGAGAAAGAAATAAATAAAAAAAAGTCAAACACTTTGCGATAAATGAGAAATTCTATAATGAGCATAAGAACATACTTTAGTAACGGGTAGCGCCGACTCTAAAGAGGAACTAACAACAAACCAGTAAATGTTCATACCAACATAAATTTTGTGCTCAACACCATCAATGAAGCTACCAAGATCAATGAAATGGAGCTGAGAAAAGCTGATAACATACCAACACAAAAAATAATTAAAATACACAACGCTTGAATGCATGAGTAAATAAGCACAACTGCTGTTCCAAATATTACGATGAAGTTATGGCCATCAAAGTAATTTGTGAAAGTATGTGGTACCTAGATTCTATGGAATTTACAAACAGGGATAATGTTGGTACATGAATCGAGGTAGTCTGTACATGATCTGATATTGTACATACTGTTCGCATCAGGAATTTTCGTCGGGGATGTTTCTTGGCCGATGAGCACACAGCTCCCCTGGAGGTTGGCGCCGGTTGAGGGCTGCTGTCGGGCTTCTGCTTCACTGTCGGGTGTTGTCGGGCAAGTCTCGTCGGGCAAGTCTTGTCGGGCAAGACTCTTCGGGCAAGGCTCGTCGGGCAAGGCTGAAAGAGAAGGACAAAGTTAACTTTGAGAGGTGCCTTTGTGGGGCCTTAGGTGTAGGCCTTGAGGCTCACAATCAAGGTTAACTTTTAGGTGCTCAGGCGTGCCACTGCCATTTTTAGCATGGCAGATGTAAAATGGATGTCGCGTTTTAGTTGTATATATGTATATATCCAAGAAACCGTGTTAGTTATAACAGGTGCCTTTGTGGGGCCTTAGGTGTAGGCCTTGAGGCTTCCCATCAATAACTAAACCAGTGCTCGAACTCATCATATTTGTTCTCGTGATTGCCGGAGTTTTCTAACTATTATACTTCTGATTACCCGAGTCCAAGAAGTAGAATGAACCCAAATAGGTGCCTTTGTGGGGCCTTAGGTGTAGGCCTTGAGGCTTCCCATCAGAGTTCGTTCTTATACTCAAACTCTCTAGATCGCAGAACGGAATGAATCCAAATGGATGCCTTTGTGGGGCCTTAGGTGTAGGCCTTGAGGCTTTCCATCAGAATCCATTCCATGCTCAAGCGTTCTATGGTAATCATAATATAATAGAAATAAAACTAGAGGGTAGGTCGATTACTTGCGCCCCAAGTAACTTCGGACTTCTCGTTTATCAAGGACTGTCGTGGATGGGTTAAGTCCACATAAGGTTCTTTTTTATGCCTTGAGGCCAAGGACTTTTAACTGATCAGATTTACATGCCCGAGGGCTTAGGACTTGGATCTAGTTTGAACACTGAAGATATATTCAAATCGGATTCAAGTACTGAGAAAGCCTTTTAATAGTCATATTGCTAGAAATAACTTGCATATAACTGGAAGTATACAACATATTGAAAAGAAAAAAACAAAGCAAAGAAGGTCGGGCAAGGTTAAACCTTATCAGGTAAGGTTGCTCGTCTTGTAGGTTCCTATCTTTGTAGTTTTGTCAAGGGTCTGAAAGCTTAGAGGGATAGAGAGAGGGATTACAAAAGATGAATCGATACTACAGCAGGGTTGAACAAGGTAGCAGAGCTATTACAAAGGTTTGAAGGGAGGGTTATCCCGCGAGGGATGAAGGCTTGTCCCGAGAGGGATGGAGGCTGACTACAGTTTTGTTTTGAAGGCAAATCTGGCTTTGAGCAGAATTTGTGCTTGCATTTGTTTGTTTGATTGAGTGTCTTTATTCCTGGTTTTTCTTTCTTTTTATATAGACAACTCGGCTTGGCCTTCTGTAGCAGCAGCCTTGCCCGAATGCGGTTTGAGGGTGATGACTCATCAGCTTTTTTACATGTACTGCCATCATAAAGTACTTTATGGGCTGTGTAGCTGATCAGTCTATACCACTTGGCCCTTGGGTAGGTAAGCAAGTGGTCTTCATGAGCTGTACCAAGTCAGAACAGGCCCTTTCTGCCTTCCTGGGTTTCGGCCGGGCCTCGGCTGACTTTCCTTCCGGACCCCCTTTTGGGCCAACATCTTTCTTGAGCCCAAAGTCAAGTTTTAAACCAAACAGTGCCCCCTTCAATTAATGCTAAGGCTGGAATCCCAGGCGCCATCATTGATTGAATATCCGCATGCGTGTATCTCAATCTTTTGGAACTTCGTGTTTTCTAGACAGGATGAAGGCAACCCCGTGCCCCTTGCTCTTTTCACGACCTTTGAACTATCCTCTGGGGCTCTATAAATTCTGGCTCGGAATTTCTTTTGTCAAGCCATCAAATCCTCTTCAGCCTTCTCTTCCATCTTCCTCGAGCGTTCAGAAACTGAGCAATGGGTTCCTTAGGCTTTGAGTGGGGTTTCCTAAAACTCCCTTTCCGTGAGAAGAAGGGCTTTCATCAAAAGACTGCTATCTCCAACACCCTTGGTTGAACACCCCGCTATCTCCAACATCCTTGGTCAGGCGGTTTCCTCTCGAAGGCTTGTCTTCCTGCTTGTTGCGGTGATAAGTCGGGCTTGACCATCACCTACGGTGATGGTCCTGTCTGAGGATCCTCTACCAGGCTCATGTTGGCCGCACAACCCGATCATCTGATCGGGTTCCATCCATGAAGACATCGGAAAATCAGCTGAAGATCCCATTGCATCCAGAAGGAGAATTGATTGTAATACGTTGGCTTAGAATTTTTTGTAAATTTCATCAATTTGTCGAAATGAAA